CTGCTCACCATATTCTCCTGACATATGCCCCTACGACTGCTACCTGTTCCGCCCCATTGAGGCTTTCTCAGCTAAGAAAACTTTCAGCAAGTTTGATGACATCAGTCAAGAAGTCGCCTACTTCTTCGACTCGCAGCCTCCCCAGTTCTAGGATGAGGGGATCGCTGACCTGCCTATTAGATGGAGCACAGTAGTGGATAACAACAGTGGTTATACTATGGAGTAATTTCAATTGGATGATGAATGAGTGATGAAAGAAGAAAAAAAATCACAACAGTGACAAGACTTTCTTTCCAAAATAATATTATACGAACTAATAATGTTTAGCACATTTGGAAACTGCATACTACCCATTTGAGTAGGAGCTTTGCGAACAGTGGTGAGAGGGGGATGGTTTTGTTCATAATAGCACCTTCTCAGGAGATCGGTCCCAAGGAGCAGAAGAGGGGACCCGTAAATTGGTTTCCAGCGCAGATGTCGTAAAATTATTATTGTGGTGGGGTGGGACTTCCTCCTGTGGACCGATGGAGTGAACGTTCAGCACCACCAGTTTCCGCTTGGCTGTCTCCGGTCTGCCGCGGAAAGAAGCGTTTTCTGGTGTACCTTTGACAGACTCCGGTAGTTACTCATTTTCTATTAGCGAGCACTCGACAGCGGGCAGCAGCATAGCATACAGACTACGAGCCACAGTATCTGACCGTCATGCAACACATTTCTTTGGTAGGCGCCGGATGTGATTCCAAAGAAAAGTAAAGAAACTTAAGGGATACTTAATAGTATAATGCATCTAGCACAAGAAGACTGAAGCTCACCTGTCTCCCAGTTTATCGAGAATAAACCAAGGTAAGCGTCCAAAACATAAAGTTCGTCTGTTTTTGGATGCACTCTGAAACAAGCGCACCACTAGTCAGGCAATTATCATCGCTCATATTTCAGAAATTCACTAAATCCAATCACTTTGCAAAGAGGAAGAAATGAACACGAAAAGTCGAATGTCAACGCTTCCGAAAGAAATTCCTTATAACCTCCTGTAATAAGGATTCTCATACTTCTGTACCAGCCATAAAATGGGCCAATTTGGGCTTACTTTTGTTGAGTCCACTTTTTTGTTGAGTGTTGTGTTGTTGTTTCCCTATATCCCTGTACGCTGCGGATGCTAGGGCGTGTCAGGCGACTGCGTTTGGCGCAGCGCCAAACCGTCCTCCATCAGATGTCGTCGGTGGCGCTGTTTGTCGACGGGGGGCATTTTGTATTATCATTGCTTCCCTAGTTCCGGTTTACAAATCTCACTCTGGTAAAACCTGTGAACTCTTGTGAAGCTGAACTAAGATCGTCTAGCCACTATCCTAAAACGTGTCAACTCGAGAAACGGCTGCCTAGATGGGTCGACACATCTATGGAAAGCAAAATGCCCCCCGTCGACAAACTGCGCCGTCGTCGGTTGCTCGGCTCCAGCAACTGGTGGAGAACTGGCTGATGTCGCGCCATACCCATCCTCCCTAATACGCCCCAACGATCGCAGCGAGCAGGACTCTGTAGATTATCATTATTTTCAAAAAGATTTGAGCATCCCTACCGCATGCCCAATGGCCGACCACATTTTGGCATCGAATGATAGGATCCATCGCATCCTTCCAAAGAGGTAAGTCGGACAGCACGAAGAATCTTAGCCTAAAATCACGATATTAAATGTCGGCCTGCGAGCACTTGGTTAGTCACAGGGACCATCCAACATGAGAGCCAATGCTGCTGTTGTTCGGCTGCAGAGCCTGGGGCCCTGTCAGTGGACGGCGGGCTGGGCTCGGCGCAGTGCCAGCCCCTTCTCAAACATCTGTAGAAACGGGCGAGCAACAACAACTGATGGGAAACAGAAGAGCGGCGCACCAAACCCGACCTCCTGACACACCCCAGCGTCTGCAGTGAAAACGACTACAGACTTGGTTCCACGAAAAAAAATGGGCAGAATCTTGGAGTCCCAGACCGCTATACTTTTGAAAACGGTTTCTGGCACGAATTCATGAAATTAGCTGACCTTCCCATTGATCACAATCTCACAGATGAGCCCTGTTTTCAGTCCCGTGTAGATCTTTTTGGTCTTCCGATTCACAGCGATCGACTCAGGCCCATAGATTTGATCTTCCAATAGAATTTCCGCCTTTTCTAATCGATGGTTCGGTGACAATTCATTCTCGAAGGGATCGGGTGGAGGCAATCTGAAAGGGAAACTTTTGGAACCGAGCGATCTTTTACCAGACTCATTCTCAAAACCATCTTGCTTCGTAGTTCACCTGGAATCATGGAGTATAAGTTGAGTGAACTCCAAAGAAAAGTACTTATACTAGTGAACTCACTGAAATTCGATAGGATCAATAGGACTGGTGACGAAAATATGAGTGCAGGCAACAGCGATCGCCACTGAAGCAATCACAGCTGAGACGATCAGAACTGGCTTACTTATTCCTGTATCACCATTCTGAAACAATGTACATCATCAGTGGGAGAATATCGTTAGTGGTCTGGTCTTTGACAGGTAGGAGGGGAAGAGGAGTCGTACTTGTTATTGAAAGGATTTCTTGAACTGTCTGTCTCCGCTGCCCCACTCCCCCCGCACCCCTCTTCCGGCAAATTCGCGTAGAAGGCATTATAACCCAGCATTGGGGTAGGAAAGGGGTCGTACCGAAACCCGTCTTTGGGGGCAGCACCAACTCCATCATAGCACATATTCCGCTGATGTGTCCTAGTAAGTATAAAATCAAAAAAAAACTGCTCACATGTGGAGCGCAAAACTTTAGAGCGCGAACGGCAAAAGAACAAAGAGGTAATGGTGGAGCCCAAACAAGAGTCTGCTGAGAGATATTCGCAAATAATAGAAAAAAAAATTGAAAATAAAAAGGGCATTTCATAAGGCATGGAAGCTGCTCAAATATTTTTGGACTGGGAAATGCGAAAAAGGAACCTCTAATTGGAATAGTTATTCAGCAAAAAGTTACTCGACTCAGTTGTTTTCAGTGGCCGCCGACCATGAGAGGCTATCGTTCAAGCCAGAGCTCTGGTGACTTTTTCAACTCTGTCCCTTTCAGGGTGACATTACAACTTCGCCCTACCTTCTCTACCTTCTTTACCTCCAGTTTCAGAGCGGACACACTGCACCACATGTACATATGAAAGGATAAATGTACCGAAACGGTGAAATCCCAGTTCTTTTTCGAAAACCCCACACCCGTTCACATTATTGCGCTCCAGTCTCTTCCCAATTCTTCTAGTAAAATAAGAGCACCTCGTTAAGCAATCCGCAACCATGACGCTTCCTGCTTCGATTACAGCCTTGGGTGCGCCTTTGCTTTCATCCCGCAATAGTACCAAGTGTCCCTGCCGCTGAACCGTGCTTAGCCTTTTTTCTACTTTCCGCGTTGATTAACTCCTTCATATGGGTCGGCACCCATCCATTCCACTCTCTTTCGAATCGTAGTGGCATCTTGAATAACATTAAATGAACGGTGGAGACCTGCTGATGAACATGTCAGTTTTCCTGACTTCAATGTGGGCTGACTTCAAGACAACTAAGGTACCAATTAATCGATTGAAAAAGTCCTGGTTGGCAGGACGAGCGGGTGCACAGGAGCCGATCGGAAATTCTATCCTGAATCGTGCGCATGGTGAGAGGTACAACCGGTGCACTATGTTGCCTCTCCCAATGAAAACGGTGATCAAAGCCTGGGAACAGCCGCTGGGGAAAAAATCTGAGCCGCTGAGGAACTGAATTTGTCAAAAGCCCAAGAACAAAGCAGCACACATATAAATCAACGTTTGACAGGAATTATCAAAAACGAAAATACATTGAGAAAAAAACGCTTTTCTCTTAAGCTCAAATTTTGTAGCTATATTAGAAGAAGAAATGGATAGTGGTAGAAAACTATTACAAATAGCAATGGTTTGTTTTGCCCTAAACTTGTTGCGCAAAATGGGTTTGAGAGCATTGGTAGCCAAAATTCGATCCGATTTTAGTGGACGTGCTGGGCAACCCTCAGCCCTTCCTGCAAGTTGCGATCTCTTTCAGTATGGAGCTTGTTCGCATGAAAGATCCATTGAAAACTTGAGGAATTAAAAGGAGAAAGAGGTTGATCGACTCATTAATCGTTTTTTTCCGGATGCGCACCCCATTCCATTCAGAATCGTATAGGTTTAACTCATTGCGACGTATACAACGCGGAGCCAGTCGATGTAAAAATTCGCGTGCACCTCACGCGAAGAATCTGTACAGTTCCCTCCCCGGAAGACCGTGTCTGTCTGAGTTGGCCGCTTGCACAGAGTCAAGGCTGACTTTGACCCCCGCGTGGTCGCGGGATGCAACATGCTACCTACCACACATCTCCGGGCCTAATTCAAACAATCAGAGGAATAGATTCTGGCGATTTCTTCGCCGCCGCATATAATTTAAAAATATAGCAGACAAACAAGAAAAACAACGTTACTGTCAGTTATGTCTGAGCCTTTTCCACCACCTTCTTGACCTCGGATCGATTGTACGGTTGATTTAGTCAATAGACAAAAGATGCCTCAGGCCTAAAATATAAATAAAGAAGTGGCTAAACCAACTTAGTGAAAATGAGAGAGAATGAGTTCAGGTAAAAAAATGGGAGGCTGGAGCGACGATAGCGAGGTTAGGATAAGAAGGCGAGATGTTTGTTCATGTTGTGGGGCGTAGAGGTCAGGCTAATTTGCTGTTCAATCAATTACATGCTTTGGCCGGAGCCTATACAGGGTGTACCTCTATAAAGAGAATACTGAAGTGGCAAGCACGACCTACAGCACGTGGCATAAAGCTGACTAGCCTCATTTACATGGGGAATAAAAAAAAAATAGCATTTTTTTTGGCCATACTGAGGAAGCCCACAAATATCCTTCGAATTTCATACTTTAGGCCGTGAAAGAAGTAGAGAATGAAGGATAAACGGCAGAGCGCTGGCTGCTGGCTGCTCGTCGCAACACGCCACTCGTTTGATCTTCCCCTACAATAAAGTAGACAAGTGAATGCGTACATAAACTGCAGTGTCTCTCAGGAGCAGTCGAAACTTGGGGGAGTCTCGATGCGATCCAATATCTACAGAGTGTACCTAGATTCCTCATCCAGTTGCGCTGCCTTTCGCATGCGTGTGTGAATGGGAGGCTGAATGGACCGTTAGGAATTTCGCTTCTTGTAAACTCTATCCTTCTTGACAGGTGTATTGCTCCAGTCGCAAACGATCTTTTGTCTTCTGTCTTGCGCTTGCAAAGAAGTTGTTCTCGTCTTAAGCATAAAAATCTGCTCGCGATTTACCACTAACGAGTCCGTAACCCATGCGAAATATTTCACGAACGGGGAAAATGCAGATTGCGAGTAGGTAGAAAACGCAACACTAGAAGCATTGCTTCAACATGCCGCCTTCTGTTTCTCAAAAGCCCCACACCTAAGAAAGCTATCACCCCTAGAACACGGCCCGCGATTACCACCCGGCCAACAGATCTGCTCCATCGCTAATTTGCCGCGAAATCATAACGCGGGCGCCAGCGCTTGCGAGTTACGTATCTAATCCTTCTCGTAGCCGGAAAAGATGGGAGAATCCTTTTCTGGGAGAGGGGGGAGGGGTCGTGCTTACACTGACACCGCCATTTCACACATTTCAACGCAAAAAATGCCTATTCCTTTCCGACTCCTATCGAAGTTTTGAAGGTCACATTCTCCGAGTCTTTTTTCGAAAACATACATGGAGAAGTATAATAACCGTGAATAATCCCGTTTAAAAAGGAATGAGAATCGCCGCAACGCTCTACATCAGGCTGTGTTCATACTTTGCGGCAGAGTCCACCAGAGTCTACCAAAGTCTCCCACCGCCCACTAGCGTTTCGAGGGCTGGGAAGTATAGGGATCGATCTAGCGTTTGTCAGCTTTTACAAGCATCCACCAGCGCTCACAAGCTATCGGGAGTAGAGAATAAGGGGAAGTAGAGGGTAGCAAACACCTGGATTGAAACTGAAATTCGAAATGGCGGGTGCACAATCGCACCGCACAACTGCTGAAGCACAGAATTATGCAATTTAATGTACGTGAGGCAGTTGTACGGTACGGTTGCACACGACGCCTAATCTAGCTGTCTGCTCCCTCCTACTTTCCCATACTCTACCAACAGTCTGCTACCTTCCTTCTTCGGCACTGATAGACGCTGGTGGACGCTGCCTTTCGCTAAATCGATACTCGTATGCCGGACATTCAGGACGGTAGTGGTCGCTGTTGGACACTGCCGAAAATTATGAACGCCCTATGGATCAACCTCTTCCAACATCAAGATATAGACAGCACTTTTTGTAGTTTCTGCATTTCATTGTGCATGTGTATTGGGCAGATTATCCCCACAGCCTACTCCCCCGCTCTGGTAATGTCGACCTCAAACTGAAATCAATAGCTCGCCACTATGGAACATTCCAAAAAAATTGGTCAACCAAAGGAAAAACACTTCCCATCTGGCTTACATATGCGCCTCAGTTTAGAAACCGTCCATGCAGGGGTGTTTGAACGTACACTCCTTATCCCTGAGACGGAGTAGGCGTGGCATGGCGTAGGATTGGCACTCGTGAGGTATTTCGATTTGGTACGACTGCCATTTTGAATCTGTGTTGGACAAAGACATGATTACAACTATCCCAATATGAAAATACCTCCACGTTCAACCCAAGCACGCCACGCCTCCCGCATCTCAGGGATTTCGAGTGTACTAATATCTGAAGTGATAAGAGAAGGTCTCCAATATGTGTCGCACTCATTAAAAGAGAACCTCACTAGTACTGCATTCTGCAGACCGTTCTGACGTTTTATGGCCACTGATAATTGAACAGGTGGCAAATCTCCCATTATCAGAAAACCTTTACGATGACGAAAACTTAATTTCTACCATACAGTTTCTACCATCCCTTGAAGGTTCGCTGGCTGTCTCACTTAGTAGCTCAACCAGACTGGTTGCATTATACGCTACAAACAACGTGTGAGTGCTGTAAGGTTAAGGCATAAGCCGTTAAGCTGAGAGGGTAAAAGCCCTGGTGGCGTAACGGATAGCGCACTCGCCCGGAAAGCGTGAGGTGCGGGTTCGACTCCCGCCTGGGGCACGACTTTTGCCCATAACTCAGCATTCTTGTGATAGCTACAAACAACATTCACTCAGGAATCGAGTAATTTTTGACGGCGAGGTGGTGTATAGCAAGTGCCACCCTTACCACGCTCACGGTCCGGAGACGGTAAATTGGTACCAGGTTATTCTGCCAGAATAAGAACACTGCCTCGCGCGAGTCATTGTATGGGCCCCAGCCTGATGGATTCTCCCAACGATGTTGTGCCCTGTTTCCACCAGTACTTGACATGGCATCCAACTCGCTTGAGAAAATAAAACAGTGCGCGTCTGATGGCGTACCATAGACTGGCTGGCAGTACAAACGAGAGACCAACAGAATATGTCATGGAGAAGCGAACATGGTGTAATGGAACGAGGAAATGTATCACTAGATATACTTGAATGAGCACAGTGGAAAGGCAGCAATCGCACAGCTGGCGGGAACGGAGACAATAGAAGGCAATTACAGTCTACCAGGAAAGCGAACGAAAATGGAAAACGGTCACCGAATTCGAAATTTATTTCAGAGCAAAAAAACTTTGATTTTAAGACGCACATTACAGCTCAGGCAGACGCCTTACCCTCTGGCAGGTGTGTGATGGGACATTATCGCAAGCTACCTTCACAGAAAAAGAAGCAAACAAATTTCGTTACTCGCAAGTGCCGGTTCTCTTTCAGACGCTGCCTGCTGTCGCAACTGCTTAGCAATACCTCTGAACGGACAATATAAATGATCTAAAACTGCAAACAGTTAGCCAGGGTCAGAAAGTTGTTGGGAAAGCCATAGCGGTGGGGCTGCACGTGGTCGCTGGAGAAGGGAGTCGTAATTGCTCTCTCCTCCTTGCTGGTAGAAACTACTATTTCTGATAATTGATCGGAGGTGCCCTCCTCACCCGCTACGACACGATTTTGGGGAAGTTGCTAACCACAAGAAGGTTATGGCAAGGGGGGGGCGTACATGAAGCATAAATAACACCGCCATCTCACCCATCTCGGTGATCTACCCTTAGCCGAGCCCCTTC